CCAGGCTCCACGCAAAGCCCTCTGGGGCGAAACCACGAAGACATCGCGGTCCCCGCAGCTCTGCCTTCGGCCGGACGCCCGCTTTCCCTTCCTGCCCTGTGTACAGCAGTCAGCTCGCCTATTGCTCGAACATTTAGTTACTTACTCCACCGCTTCTTTTTAAGTGTATTTTTTTCTTCCATGAGCAAGAGAGACAGAGAGAGAGAAAGAACCCAACAAGGTCCTTGGCTGCAGCCCAGCCCCGGCTCAGGCAGCCCTGGTCTCAGGCGGGTGTACACGTACTGTGTGCTTGTGGGGCATTGGGCCTGAACAGAAGGCCTTTCCCCTGTGGGCCCAGCTACGCTGCCACTGCGCCACCTGCTGGTCCCATCGCAACTGTACTAAAGCTTTCTCCAGTCTGGGGTTGGCACATGGCATGGTGGTTAAGGGCACTGGACTCCCACATGGCTGGCCATGGTTCAAGTCCCAAACCTGGTGGCTTGTTTTCTCACTTTCTCTCTCTCCAAATTTAAATAAATAAATAAATAAAGTTAATTTTTCAAAAAGAAAGCAGAATTTTTTTTAAAAAAAAGGCGTTCTCCATTCACTCCACCACAAAGATGAGCAAACTGCCATCTTCACCACAAAGGTGCTCAAGGGTCACAGTTCAGAGTGCAGGATCTGGGGTCAGAGCGGCAGGGTCCTGACCTGCCCGCCTGTCCCAGCTGTGTGGACTCAGGCAAGTTACGTGTCCTCTCAGCCCGTTTGGACCTCTCTAGAACAAGGACCGGGCTGTCTGTCTCACAGGTGTTTTGAGGCTGCAGGCCCCCTACGCGGAGTATGTGCCGTCCACTCACACGCAGTCTGCGTCAGGAGACTTCTCTCCCGGAGTGCGGAGTCCAGGCGGTTTCGGTCGGCCCCTTCTGAGCTACACGCCCACTCTCGTGGTCAGCTTCTTCTACCTTCCTTGGAATCGTTCACATTTCTTACAGTGACTCGCTTTCCTCCACTCCGATTCCCCAGCAGGTAGTGGGGAATCCACCTGGCTTCCCTAGCTCCGGGGAGTCACTGTCTCCCGTGTCAGGTCTATCCCTGAGGCCTGCTTACTTCCACGAGCACGCGTGCAGGTCTGGACAGGGCCTGTGTGCCACGTGGAGCCAAGCGAACCTTCCTGGTATGACCATTCACAAGTCCACCTGCTGCTCAGGCTGGCGGGCCGAGGCGGAGGCAGACCCCATGCACCCTTTATGTACGTCACACATTTTATTCAAAGAATTCTTAACAGCCTGCCAACATTCATTTGGAACAGCAAAAGCCGAACCCCGAGCCTAGAGGGAAACATAGCCTCAAATCTTTTTCTTTTAAAAAAGGAAGTTTTTAAAAGGAATTTATTATTTATATTTAAAAATTCGAGGCCAGCCACGGTGGCTCAGGTGTGCTGGTCTGCAGAGATAGAGGCCACACCACTGGCCAAAGGTCTGGGCCCTGGCAGGTGCCCACACCCACACTCCGACCCGCTGCAGCTGGGGAGGCCAGTATGACAGGACTCTGCTGAGGGACTCTGCCCTGGCCCTTGTGCCCTCTCATGAAAGAAACAAAATAAGTAAAAACATTTTTTAATTACAAATTAGAAGCAGAAAAGAAGCATCTCTCTCCTCATAAAAAAAGAAATTGATAAATATAAAACTAATGCATTATTACACAAAGAATAGCAGGAAGAATGAATAAATTCAAAAGCTAGCCCTCAGTCTTTTGAAGGAAAAATAAAAAACTAAAATAGGTAATTCTTTCATAAAGCTGATTTTAAAAATAGAACAGAAGTGCAAAACATGGTGAGTCAGGGACCAGCCGTTAGCGTAACGGCTATGTCGCTAAACTCCCATGTAGTCAACTGTGGTTCGAATCCCAGACCTGGTGGCTTAAACTCACGCCAGGCGCATGTCAAGAACCCGAGAGGAGAATGGAGGAGAAGGGATTGCGGCATGGCCATCCCCTCTGGGAGGTGATTACTTGCTTTCTGTCTCTATGTCTCTCTCTATCTGGTGAGCACACACGCCCTATAGCAAAAGCCTCTTCAAAAAAAATAAAAAATAAAAAGGCTATGTGATGCTTCATAGATATTTTTTAAGAATTATTTATTCAATTTTATTTATTATTTTTAAAATTTTGCTATAGGGCATGTGCGTTCACCAGAGAGAGGCAGAGAGAAAGAAAGAGAAAGAAAGTGAGAAAGTAAGCTGCCAGGTCCAGGACTCGAACCACAGCCAAGTGGGAGTCCAGCACCGTAACCACCGCGCCACCTGCCGGCCCCATGCTTTACAGGTATTGATGTCCTTCTTATAATTAGACACTAAAAATATGTACACACCTATTCTGGGGTCAAAGAAAGAGATGTTGCCGGTATTAGAAATATTATTATTAATTCTTAATTCCATATGCACTAGTGACTATTTAGACTTCAGTTTTATTATAGAAGCCTAACTTATTAATATAAATATCAGTATTTCAAGGTTTGTCTATTCAGAATCTTTTTTAAAAAATTATTTACTTAATTTTATTTATCATTTTTTTAAAATTTGCTACGGGGCATGTATACTCACAGGAGAGGGAGAATGAGCAAGCAAGCCTCCAGGCCTAGGACTCGAACCACAGTCGCCCATGTTAATGGTGGTAAAGTTAATTCAGCTAACTGAATTAACTGGCCCCCGTTAATTCAGATTCCAATAAAGAGAAATTATAGCCCAACTTACTAGGGTTGAGGAATGATTAAACTGATTGTCTCTAAGATGAAGAAAATAAAGTTTTTATTTTAAGTAAATAATTTCAAGCCTTTTAGAAGCATTCAAACTGAAAAAGACAGCCATTTTGTTCACAGTGGTCATTTTCATTTATTTGCTTTGAGTGGTTACATATGTGGTCACGTCAGAACAGTATTAATTTCCATTTCTATAACTTGGACGCTCACTGACTGAAGCTGCATTCCTCCTGCTTAGTGCAGTAAGTAAGGACTAGCTACGCTAACTAAATGCACTGCAAAGCGAGCGCCTCGGGTTCAGTAACCCAAATCGTAATCTAATCCTGCTTTTTCAGTATCGCCGATGGTCATCCTTTACCCTTCCACTCTCCTCCAGGCCACCACGTGGTTCGCCATGGAGTCATAAATACCCATCTGGCCAGGACTGGGGTGCCCACGGAGAGGGGATCAGACTGGGTGCTGCCCTGCGTGGCTGGTCAGCACTGACACAGGGCCCTCCCTCTCTCCCACACACCGAGGACGGACCACGCAGGTGGTGGCTTCTGGGAGGAGATGCCGTGTTGGCCTAACTGCCTCAACATTGAAGACGAAAGTTCACGGATAGCGCCCAGAACACGAGACTAAGCTGTTGCACACAGTGGATAAGCCGCAGAGGACCCGACACCAGAGGAGCATTTCCGAATACCTGCCCCAGCCCGGCTTCCGGTGTCTACACGCGCATGCACCGAGGCCTCCCAAAACACCGCACGTAGTCCTCGTCCTCCCGCAGGTGCCGGCGCCGGTGCAGACAGAGAAGTTACAGGCCCTGCCTAGTCACTCAGCCTGTGAGCGGTGGAGCGGTGATTTAACCAGGCACCCTGGCCCGGGCCAAGCTCTTAGCCACTGAGCAGGACCAGCTGAGGTCCCTACTGGAGAGTAGGGATATTCTTCAAGCAACTTGAGAAGAGCCTGCCTTTGAAAGATGTTACTTTTTAAAAACAAATTGCACACACAGTTTCCAAATACCTATGGCAACATCAACCCTTGATGCAAAGATTTCAGGACCAAGACAAAGCAGAAACAGTAACTATACTTGAGTGAGCGTGTGTGTGTGTGTGTGTGTGTGTGTGTGTGTGTGTGTGTGTGTGTTCACCAACCAGCCTTTGGGGCCTAATGGACAATCCAGATTGAGGGCTTGTTTCTTTCCGGATAATAATGACAGCCAGTGTAGCTATTGTTTTCGGTGTGCCCTTTTACTTGACCAAATTAAAAGCTAACAAATCAAAGCTGGGCGTTGGGAGATTTTGATT